CAGCTCAACATGCTGCAGAGGGGCTGGCTAAGCTGTAAGTGCTTCAGTGCAAGGCTAGCCAGCAGACATCCCCAACACTGAAGCACCCTTATGCCCCAGCCACATGGGCCTGTGTCTACGTGTGCACTGCTGCAGAATTTTTTACCGCACAGCAGGATAGTACTTGTATTTTCAAGTACTTTTATTTACAAGTACTATGCTGCTGTGGAGTAAATTAGTTTACTCCAGCCTAATAGGGGTGCACACATAAATGCTGAGATATTTACTGTGCAGCTAATTAGTCTACTGCACAACAAACATCTTGTGCAGATGCACCAAATATGTCATTAAAAAAAACCTTTACATTCACTGAAGTACAGCATGAGAAGCAAATAAGAATCAGTACTTACAAGAGTTTTCCAACCTCTTTTATCAGGCGTTTTCTTTCTGTCTGTTTTCTTTCCATGTGTTTTCTAGCTGTCTGGAAATCTGCCATAACTCAAACTGCTTACTAAAATCCAGCATAAAAGTTGAGAGAAACAGAAGCATGTGTCATTTTGTGCACAAGTAACAATGACTGAACCAAAGCCATAAACAAATTAGCCCAATATATTTAAAAACTCCTGCAAAACATAGGCAATGCAGAAGTGGCAGAATAATGCACAAGTTAGGTAGTAATGGGAAAGGAGAGTGGACATACTGAAGTACTGTATCATGTTGAGTCTCATCACCTCTTCCAAACTTTTAATGGTTTGAGTATTCACCCTGCCTCCCCCTCCCCACAAAGGGCAAATAGTGGCAACTCCCAAGTGATGTGACTGGAGAGGTGGGTTATTTTGGTTGCAGATCACTGTAAATTGGAAGAAGAGCAGGCTAGAGAAGAAGAGGTTACGGCAGGCCAGTTTGGGGATAAGGACACAGGCACTAGTTTTGACAAGTGTAACAGGGAACCTGAGCCCTGTTACTAGGAAGCATGTCCTTTAAGAACAGAACTTTAAGGGCCCAGCAAGCCGGCAGAGCCGGGGTTAAAAGTTGAGCCTGGGTGGCTGGTCAGTTGATTGGGGCATCAGGTGACCGGAAGAGAGCTCAGGCCAGAGCTATATAAACCCTGGTCTGAGCTGGTCAGAGGGGGCTGGCTGAGAGGGTGGACTCCTGAGAATTTCTAGAGAGGCTGTGGCAGCTCTTCAAGGGAAAGCAGCAGACGGTGGGATGCAGAGAGAGAGCCATGGAACTGTAAGTAGGCAGATTGCCTTCTTTACCTTTATTTTGTTATAGCCCAGGGGCTTACTGTTCATGTTGCATTTGTAAGCTGGTGATCTGTGGCTGAGGCTGTAGGGGAGGAGGAGGCCTTGTTAGTGTTCATGGGGTGCAGCTGCAGAGGGGCTGGAGAGCCCAGCGCCAGAGGGGCACAGCAGACAAGGGCCAGGGGCCTAGTTTGGGACTAGGGCCTTAAAGCTGAGCCTGACACAGTAGGTATGGGCTAAAGGGGCTAGCCATATAAAAAAGGGATGAGGCTGGATGGGCCGAAGCACAACAGAGAGTCTGGGAAAATTGTATAGGGCCACAAGCCCAGAGCATACTAAGAGACTAGAGCCTCAGAGCCTGGCCCTATCTAGTGGGTCTAGGCTAGTGGGCCTGGCTAGAGAGAAAGGGGCAGAAGCCGAGTAGGCTGAAGTCCCAACAGAGACATACAGCTCACACCTGTGAGGCATGGGGCATGTTAAGGGGAGGTCAGAGCATGCAGTTAGCTTTTAAGACAAAAGCCCCCTACCTTGGTGAGTAAGAGCATAGATCTCACCTGGGAAGCCCTGGTACAGCCTCCTCTTCAAGAACCAAGGAACGTCAAGTCACGGCAGGCGAGCAAATGGGAGTTTGTTCCCAGAGGAAAACTGAGATATCAAGGGAGTTTGGGGTTTCATAGTTTCTAGGGCTGGAAGGGACCTGAGTAGATCATCTAGTCCGACACCCTGCCATGGCAGGAAAGAACACCGGGGTCAAACAACCCCAGCAGGGTGTACATCTAGCCTCCTCTTAAAGACCCCCAGCCTCCTCTTAAAGACCCCCAAGGTGCTTTTGTAGGTTTTAAAATGCTGCTGCAGATGCTACCCTGTTATAACAAGGTAATACACTATGCAAAACAAGTCAAATGACACTTTGATCTCTCTAAAAGTCATTAGTTTTCATAATTTACAAGACTACAAATGCATATTTGGATGTGGAATGAGATGGCTCTCTATATGTTTTTCTAAAGTGCCCATCACCATTGTACATAGGTCCCAAAAGAATCATTAATAGGGAACAAAACCTCCAGAACCAGCATATAACCATTAAAGTTCTCCAATGCCAGTGCAGGTGTTTGCACTAATATATTAGAAGTAGCCCAGTAGTGGTTCTTGTCAATGGTTAGGAGCCAGACCCTCAGAGTATGTCAGTGGAGCTCCATTGACATGGATAGTGCATAGATGATTTACATCAGCTGAGGCTCTGGCCTTAACTTTATAATTACAGCTTTTTTTATTCATTTAAGGGCAGGAGTGCCAAAGCGGTTCCTTGGGGAAGGATGTACACTGGGCAGTGCAAGGCCTTCCAAAGAAGTGACTTTGAAAGCTAATTGAAAGTCACAGCCTGTCTTTCTGCCATTCAGGAGCTACTCAGAAAGGTGATAATTATGTACATGCTAAGAAAAATGACTATGCAGTTAACAATCCCATCAGCTATTCTGTATAAGGTCTCACTACACACATGCACATGCACAGAGTATATGAGAAATAGTCCATTACCTGTATCAGACCCTTTTTAGAGGCCTTAAAATGATTATTAAATAGATCTTGGCTTGAGCATTTCTGTTTCCTGGTATCTGGAGGATGGAATTCACTCTTGATGCTGCTGTTCCGTCTGTGTCTGCAGCTGAGACTGCGACTGAGGGAAATTAGGCTACTGCTTCACATTAAACTAAAGCTTCCTCCTGTTGCTTGGAAACAATGCTGCTGAACTGAAAGAAGTAAAAAAACCCTGTGCTCTGGGGTTAGGCTCCTGGCCTGGAGTTTAAGCGATCCTTTTACACATTGAGGAATTGGGTTTCCAAGCATCTGCCTTGCTGGTCTGAAACATTGATGGCTGGATGACGAGAGAGGTGGATTTAATCTTTTGTGAAAGTAGCTACCTATAATAAGCAAGAATGGGGGGTTTAAAGAAGATGGTTAACAGGGACAAAATCCTGGACACATTGAACAAATGGCAAAACTCTTATTGGAGCCAGTGTTTTCTTCCTGGTAACTAAGGCTAGCATTGTGGGCCATGCTGTTACCTACTTGCTGCTTGGCCTAGTTTACCAGTATATTTGCACTCATACTAGGAAGAATTTGAAAAGCAAACAAATCTCAAGGCAATCTACAAAATGCCCTCCTTGCTACCTACCAAAATCCAGTAACGATATACTTCACATATGGCCAGTGTCAACAACAAATCATTAAACTAGGTAGGTAAAAAGCAAGGCAGATGGAGTTTATATTTTGGGAAGTCTTATAGTTTGCAATTTGTAACATAAGGCTAGATTTGGAATGACTCCTCCTAAATATTGTAAACAGCAATTGATGTAGAACCTGATTATAGGACTTGATTATGATGTTGCCTCTGCTAGAAAGCTGTTGTGATGGCCTCAAGAAATGCAGTTTACAAGTCCCCTTAATGTCATATAATTTAGCTAACTTTTGGGAAATCTCCTCTTATTTCACTTCTCCTAATGTCATTCAATTTCATTCCCAAGCCAAGTAATAGACTTTTTCAAGAGATTCTTTTATTGTAGGTGGTGTCAGTGCTAGTATGGAACTGGGTTAGGCAGCCAGTGTCTGCTTCTGTCTGACTCTTGCTGTAATTCCATTGTCTTTGATGAAGTTGCTTCTCTTGTACACATGCTTTAAGAGAATCAGTGCTGAAGTGATACAGCTCACTAAGTGCTGCATCTGCAAACATGCCTGAATATGGGTTGGCCACAAGGTCAAATACGGGACTTTGTAAATGGGGCTGAGTGTGTATTCTGCATGAGGGGCTGAACATTGTTTTTCCATATATACTTTGCTGGCCAATTGTATTCAAGCAAACCTTAAAAGGAAAGGCTTGTGTGACAACATGCACCATAGAATAGTAAACCAGCCACAAAGATGTTCCACATCTAATATAGAATATTGTTGTGGCTGGCTTGTATGGAGCTTTAAATTTAATGTGTGGCATGCCCAGGCCTGGTTGGAGACCCTTGGCTGCTCCAGCTCCCATGCTGACAATCAGCTGATTGTTCGCATAGGGACTAAGGCAGCCTAGGATCTCGGACTGGGCTGGGGCTGCCCAGGGGGTCTGCAAGTATACTTGATTCCCTCTGCCTGGCACTAGAAGACCAGTGCCTCTGGTAGCCCTGAGGAAGCTGTGCACAGCGCAGCTCTACAACTTGTAAGTGCAGATGGAGCCCAGGATCATGCGCTCAGGATCCATATAAGCTAGCAAGTTGAAAGGGTGCATTTGGGATCTTATCCCTCATTCCCAGAATTATGCCTCCTGCCAGAGCTGACCCTAGAGGTGTGCGAGGCCCAGGGCATATCAACCTGTGTGGGGCCTGTGTGGAACAGGTGTGGGGGATGGTGAGTGGCTGGAGCAAGGGGGAAGGAGGGGGATGGTAAGCGGCTGGAGAGTGAAGCAGAGCGGAGGACGGGGGATAGTAAGCAGCCGGAGTGGGGGTGGGTGGCAAGCAGTTGGAGTGCAAAGTTGGTTGCATGCGGCAGCCATGCAGAGTGGTGGTGCCCTCAGTGGGGCCTGTATGGCACTGTCCATGGGGCCCCCCCCAAAGTGCAGGGCCTGGGGCGGTCACTCCAACTCGCCCCCTCCCAAGGGACAGCTCTGCCTCCTGCCATGCACTTGCAGCCTGGCAGGACATACAGTTGTTGGGATCTGGGATCAGGTCCCATCATGCCATTAAATTGTCTGCCAAGGGCTTTAATCTTCAACATCCTCCTGTAACATTCTGCATGTGAACCACATGCACATGTGAACCTGGTGCTCGTATCCAGGTCCTGTGTGTTGCTTATGCACTTACTTATCCACCCAAACCTTTGCTCCCTGAAACAAAGCTGCAATTCTCTGACAATCATGTGCTCCCAGGAACTGGAACTTCTCTAAAAGTGTCGTGTACCACAAGGCTCAAAAGAAAAATCTCAAAGACACTGGGTTTTCCTGACCGGCAGTCACCACTTCCACTGTTGAAAGGACAGCGAGGCAGTTAACTGGGTTGGTGAAGTCAGGCACATCATCCATTCCCTGAACATAGCCAGTGGCTGGCTGAGGCAGTGTGGCCCAGACTGTAGAATCACAGAAAATGAGGGTTGAAAAGGACCTCAGGAAGTCGCATGTAGTCCAACCCCCTGCTCAGACCAGGCCAGTACCTAACTAGATCATCCCAGCCAAGGCTTTGTCCACCCGGATCTTAAAAACCTTCAAGGATGGAGAGTCCACAACCTTTATGGGTAACCTGTTCAGTGCTTTACTACCCTCCCAGTGAGAGATTTTTTCCTAGTATCTAACCTAAGTTTCCAAAGTGAGGGACACCTTTGAATGAACATATTTACATTGACAAGGCTCTTTGGGGAAAACTGGTATCTTTTATAAGGCCAATTCAAATAGCTGGAAAAATTCTTCTTAGCAAGCTTTTGGGTACAAACACCCTTCATCAAGCTGAGGAAGTGTCTGCAGATGACCTGTGCTCTTCCCGGATGGAGTGGTAAAGCAGCCAGAGGCCTGTACGCGTGTATGCAAGGAAGCCAGGCAGTTAAAATGTAATTCTAAAAAAAAATTGTATTCCAAGCCAAATTGGCCAAATAACTCCTAGTCTGTGAGTCAGTCCAGAACCAAAACAGGCCCTACTACCAGCAGACATCCCCCACCCCCACCTGGGGCTTCTGCTGTTCCCAAATCCTTTGGTGAACATCCTACTTGCAGACCCAAGCCTGGAGGCTTGGAGCTCGGGTGCCCCCGAGTTTCGCTTGCCCTCAGCCCTTAGGGCCCAGGAACAAGCTAGGGAGGAGTCTCCCACCTTCATAACATGGCCTTAAAGCCAAAATTAACTCTACATCGCGACGGGTTTGCTGCTTCCACGGCCTCAGCGGGCCCCACCAGCGGCGGCCGGGGCGGGAGCAGAGGGCAGTCCGGCCGGGCGGGGGCGGGGCTTCTCCTTCTCTCCGCCCCCGGCTCTGCGAGCCGTTGGTCGCGACCCACGTGACGCGGTTCAAACTGGCGCGGTGGGTACGGAGGTGACGTGCGGCGGGTCCTTGCGGCCGCCCGGGCAGGGGCTGCCCTGACACCCCCCGGGCCGTGGGTGCGAGCGCGGGAGACGGGCCCTGCGGGGGTAGGGAAAGCCTCCAGAGCAGCGGTACTCAGCGGGCGGCCGGCGGGAGGAGCCCCCGTGCCAGGGGCGGCCGGGCCGGGGCTGCTGAGTGCCCCGAGCCCCCTGCCGTGCAGGAGCCGCCCGCTGGCTTTCCCTCTAATCAGACAATGGAGCTGCCCTGAGTGGGGAAAGGCCGGGCCCTTGCCCACCTCTTTGCCAAGGCATAGAAGTGGCCCCCAGCACGTTGCCAGCGCCCAAGGGCTTTGCCACCTTTCCCACTTTAGGAAAGACAGCGGGGTTGTAAAGGGTGCCAGGGTGTCGCTGTAGGAAAAATAAAAACTCCTTTTAATTCCTTTTGGCACCCATATGTTGGCTGGGGGGGAGTGTTGTTCGCTGGTGTCAGCGGGCTTTGCTTTCTGGAAAAAACGGCAAGCACTAACTGCATTGGGTATCTGTCCCCTATCTGTTGCAGAGAAACGGGGCTCTTCGGCCATGGCGTCCACGGAAAGCACGGAAACGTCTCTTTTCTTGCTAAGCGGCGTGCGAGAGCGGATGAGGGAGAAGAAAAATGGCGCTCTAAAGACGGCAAAGCTGAATGCTTCCATCGTGTCGAAGATCAAAACTAAAATCATAAGTGAGCGAGCGTTTGTTTGTACTTGATTAGCACTGAGAGGCCCTAAGTAAGATCTGCGCGGTACTGCACTAGGTGCTGTTAGCAGATGGAAAGAGTTGTCTGGCCAGCAAGTGTATTGTTAAAATCTATTAAATGGGGAGAGAAGAGCTGCTATTGCCTCATTTCACAAATGGGGATTTGAAGCATAGAGAGATTAAGTGACTTGCCCAAGGTCACTGAAAGTCTGTGGCAGAGCCTGGAATTGAACATAGGTCCTCTGAATCCCAGACCAGCACCTTACCAGTAAAATCAGTCTTCAGTTTTGCAACAGTAATTTGATGGCTGAACAGGACTGTCCTTTTTTCTTCTCAGATATGGAGGGATGCACTTCATAATGCGGGTCCTTTCTCTCAGGCTTCTGTTAGTACCATCCTACTTGAAAACTAACTTTGAACAGTGTGTTCATTTCTTCAGTACAATGCAACTTCAGGTACTGATCCTGAAACGTTTTCTGCAGGACAGAAATAATGCCATCAAAGCCAATGTGTCTGTGCAGGACACAGGTATTTACTTACATGAAAAAGGCCATGGATCAGAGGTTCACATCATATTTACTCCTTCAAGTAACCTGTGTCCAAAACTATCCCATGAATGTAAAATAAGTAGCGCAGTTAGAATAATAATAGAGAGATGAGGAATGGAGAGCTTAAAAGTGGGAGAAGGGTAGATAAGGTGAAAAGATGCAGGAAGGTTGTTCCTATTATGGCAGGAACTGAAAATATTGCACAGTGTGACTGAGTGAAGGGAGACTGGCTCAATATAAATGAAAGTTGCTGTGAGCTTGATTTGTTCTATGAAAGCTCACTGTCCTCTTCCCCCTTTTTAATGAACTGGGACAATTCTGAAAATCCCTACAATGGATGGGGAGTCACGGATGCTGTCCGTGGATAAGCAATGTTACTTTGCTGGTGATGTATGAGAAGGGGGTCTGTACATGTGTTAGTTTGTATGCTGAGATTAGGGTAGGCCACAGAAAACGGCATTATAGTAACAGTGGCAGAAGAAAGAGGCACAAATAAGAATGTGGGTCCTGATTGCCTACAGAAGTGTATGTGGTGGTCCCTGGTGCCTGTGCAGAGCCTCACTGAGATGCAGAAAGGTGGCATTTGGGGCTTTGATTACTGTAGATTAGTTCTGTAAGGGGCACAGCATTAAGAATCGTGTAACAAAATACCTATTTATTCTTTTCCCTGTAGACAACTCTTCTACCATAAAGGTCTCCTTAAAACGCAATAATAAAGCTCTGGCTCTGGCCCTCAGTGCCGAGAAGGCGAATACCCAAAGACTGGTCTATGAGAAGATGTCACTACAGAAGGAAGTGGAGAGATGTCACTTTCAGAATGCTGTGTTGCGGCAAAAATTATGTTTTCTGGTATGAGACTAATGCCATGACTTCCATAGAGACTACCAAGTAGAGAGTACATTTGTTTAATTTATTTGCCCCCTCTTCCTCCCTGTCAAAACATACCAGATTTTAATATCTATTCTTTTTTTTAAAAGGTACCATTAAACTTTGATCCTATTCTCTCTTGTAGCTGTGTGGCGATGGAGTTTAAAACACAGTCCCATCTTTAATGTAGATGAAACCTACTTTCATATCCATGTTCCCCTGTAAGGTTGTCACATTTCTGTCTGCTCTAAATTAAAACTAAAGGAATTTATCTTTTAATTTAAGTTCTTTTTTGATACAGAATAAGACTCTTAAAGAACTAGAGGACTTTATGAATGGTAACCTGATGACTGCAATTAAGATGAGCAGACTCTCTGAGGTAAGCTTCTGGGATAGTAGCACTCTGTGATGGAAGGAATGTGTCTGGCTCTTTATCTAATGACAATTGCTGACTTCATTCTTTGAAAAATCTTACTGGTCCTGCTTACTGAGAACACAATACAGCATCTTTATTGGTGTCCTTGCACTCTAAGCTGCCCCTCTCCAATCATTCTGATTTATCTTTTCTGACTTGGCAACTACAAGCATACAAGGGCTCAGTTGGAGATTCAGCTTGTACTGGCAGAAGAACACCTGTCAGTAGAAGATGTAGGCTTTGCTGACATGTGGTTTTACCATATTTTCTCTAATACTACATGCACCTTTCCCTTATACTGCTTCTGGAAATTGGGGACTGCATTATAAGTGAGGAAATATGGTAATACTTGTAGCAGTTTCTGCCTCTGCTGGTGTAGGTGGTGCGAGAAAGTAATGCTGCAGGACTCCCTAATTGTTGGCTGTGTATATTTCTCCCACCCCCACTTTGGCTGAGGCTCTCAAGGGAAGAGTTTTTTTCGTTCTGCCTCTTAAAAGCAAGGTTTGTGTTGTATTTGGTGGTGTGATGTATTGAAAAAATTGTAATGGTGTCGGGGGTGATTTTCACCTGACACGTACACTTAACTAACGGTATTCATGCCAGCAAGAACTTGCAGTGTAGATCAGTTTAGATCTGTGTAACTATTTGAAATCTTCACTTGGTACCAAAGTAGGTACAGTCTAAGGCCACACAGGAATGGGAGTAAGGAAGGCTGATATAACTGCATCCACACTAGGGATTGTACTGGTTTAACTATTTTGGCAAACACCATCATGCCCCTAACTATGATGGATATAATCTGTGGGTAGGCCAGGCCTTCATTAAGTGCGAGTGAGATCCCAAGTCTGGTACCATGAACAGAATATAGGTGGTATTTTTCTCCCAGTACCACAAATGCTTCAGGTCTTCCAGAGTAGTCCTCAGCTAAACAACATTTAGCTGTCTGGGACAGGGACCATTTTCCCCTTTCCTTGTTTGTCCAGTTCCCAACACAAGGTCCTAGTTCCTGATTACGACTTCTGGTTGCTACCACAATACTGTAGTCTACAGTGAAACAGTTTAACTATGAAGATATTTAAATTACTATCATTAGATGTCAGACATAACAGCACTGTAAGCTAAATGTAGAGTTCATGGATCTCTCGTAGGAGTTGCAGTCTCACTGAAACAATATTATATCAGTTCAGGTTTGGAAAGCAAACTTCCCCTTTTATAAGAGCTAGAAACTTGTTTTGTTTTGTTTTTAATCAAAACTTAAACTTTTCATAAAGTGATTATGCTCCTCAGAGACATGTCAGTGCAGTCTCCTGGCTCCTCACTTCTGGCTTGTTCCATTTCCCTTTTGGAGAGGGCAATGTCCTATATCTTTTTTTCCAAATAACTCCGGTATTCCCATTTTTTATTTAAATGGGAGAGTCTGTAAATGCAAGTTTACTATTTAAAGTAATTGTACGTTTCCACTGTTGGCATCCCAAAAATTAAGTCCAGAATCGGAGCTTCTCTTACTCTGTTGCAGTATAGTACGTAGTTATTATGGAGCTCTTAACTGGACTGTTCCATTGCTCCATGCTCTAGTACCATCTGAGGTCTCAGTCATCATCTAGTCAGAAAGACAGTGGTGCTGAAGACAGCTGGCCTGATGACCTCACAGATGGGCAGCTTGGAGTATCTCCACTTGTCAGGTAAGCCTAAAAAGTCAAATGTGGTTACGTTTCATCCTGGGTTTTTATAAACCTGATCTGTACCTGCTTGTCTGGAATAAGGAGGGGGAAAAAATTGGGGTGTAAATGTTGAGACTTTTTATTTTTTGGTTCTCAAATCTATGGTGAAATGTGTTTAGAATAAAAGGGCTGCATCCTGCTCTCCAGTTAGCAAGTTTAGAGAGTAACTACATTGAAGTGAGACTACCAAGCTAAGCACAAAATCTCAAATCTTTGTGAAGACCTCAAATTACTTGAAGAATATTTTGCATGTTGGAGACTCCCCCCCCACAAATCCAAGGAAAACTTGTCACATAATTTCATGTAAACAACACCCACAACGTTTAGAAACTCACCATCACTTTCTGTGGAGAAGAGGTTAAGCATGAGAAGTTCCCAAAATATCTTGGCATAACTCTCGATCAGAGCCTTCCCTTTCATGAACATCTACGGAGTGTTGCTATAAAAAGGAAAGCACAAGTTAACCTTGTGCATAAACTGGCTGGAACAACTTGGGGAGCAAATGCAACCACACTGTGAATGGCTACTTTAGCACTTGTTTTCGCTACAGCAAAATATTGCTCCCCAGTCTGGAACAAAAGCATGCACACAAAGATTGTTGATACACAGTTAAATGCAGCTATGCAGATTACATCAGGAACGTTAAAAAGTACGTCATTGCCATGGCTCTGCCATAGCTCTGCTGCAATGCCACGTGCATGAAGAAATACCATCAGGTCACCAGTAACCCAAACCTTCCAATCAACAAGGACATCACCACATCATCACTAAATAGGCTCAAATCTAGAAAACTCTTCTGGAAATCTGCCAAGAAGATTTGATGATGATAACAGCACTGAAGAACAATGGAGGGAAACCTGGGCAAATACCAACCTGCTGCAGAAATACATAGTCAGTGACTCAACAGTCCTCCAGCCAGGATTTGACCTATTGAGAAAGATTTGGTCCTTCCTGAATCAGATATGGACACTTCATGGAAAATGTGGATGCTTGCTCCAGAAGTGGAGAATCAAAGACAGTTGGTTGTGATTTTTCAGACACTGCAATACATTGTGAATGAATTGCCCAATTAGATCATTTAATGGCGATCTAAAATCAATCCATGCAGATACCCCTGAAGCAATCAAATTTTATCAAATTTAGATATTAATCTATGAATGTTGTAATCCTAAAATGTCATACAAAAGAAGCAGCTCCAACCACTTAACCTGATAATTACAAGGACCTACTGGGTGCATCTACATGTTCATTAATACACAGTAGTTACTGTGCATTTAATTTAGTAATTGCTTAATGAAGTAGCTAAATGCACAGTAACTAGAGTTACTGCGCAGTATCGCCAGTGAACACCTTTTTAGTGACACTACTGTGCAGTAGCCTAATACTGTGCACTAGTATATTAACACTCTGTGTTGTGACGTGCTACTGCGCAGTGTTGTTAGGCTACTATGCATTAAGCATCGCATGCAGACACACCCATTGTGTAGAAATTTTAATGGTTGAATTCAGAGGAGGTCATGTGGTCATTGCCTCTGTTTCCATGTGGGAAAACAGGCTGGGACAGTGAAGTGACTTGTTCACAGTCATCCAGCAGACCAGTGACAGAGCTGGAAATGGGACCCAAATCTGAGCATCAGTCCAGTGCTCATCTGTGAGGCTACAGTGTATGCACATGCATTTCAGTTGCATATCCAATTTGCTGTTTCCCTTTGTTTCTCTTCCATTTAGCTATTCCTTGTTCTGCTGCCTATTTTTTCCCAATCTTTGTTTCCTGCCTCTCCTGCGCCTTCTTCCCCCATTTTCCCCATCTTAGGCTTATGCTTCTCCCATACTACTGTTTGAATAGAATGCACTTCCTGCCCTCCTACATAAAAACTACCCTTCCCTCTCTTTCAAGTGCCTTTATGTGAAAACATGTGTCCTCAATCTACTTCTTACTTTCTCATGCATTACATGTAGCCCCTCCTGTTGTCTCCTGTCTCATCTTCAGATTGTGGATACATCTGGGAAAGAGAGATCTTATAGATTCAGTCCTGTGAACACATGGAACACATGTTGTTGGCATAGTTTACTTCTATCTGTAGTTTCATTGTCCCCTTTGCAATTATACTTTGTATTGTTAATAGTTATAATCTGTGGCCATAGTCTAGCAGAATACTTCAGCATGCATGTTTAAGCATACAGAGACGATAGGACTAGCCAGGTGCTTAAAGTTTTATACATGTTCAAGTGCTTTCATGAGTTGGGATCTTTGTTGCTAAAACGATGTGTATCTTTACAACACTATATATTCAGTAGGAACCTGGGTACAAGTGCAGTTTAGGTATGTGTTTTGGGAAGGCAGTCACAAATGGGATCTGTCCTTTGAAATAATATATTTGAAGATTCGTTTCCTGTCAAGTTGAGAATTCTGGTCCTGGTGTAATCACAGCCCTAGAAATTGCTGTTTGAATTGTGCTCTGTAGGACCTTGCTTTCATTATCCTTCTTATTCTTTTTCCTTCCTGCAAAGTTTGTGTCTTAAGACAGACACATTCCTTCCCTGTATGCAATTGCAACTTGGCAGAAAACAAATTCCACTCAGCCAGCTTGTGTTCCTCTTCATTTCTGCCCTTTATATATTCAGGAATGTGCTTAAAATTATGTGCTGCCCTGTGCAGGAATGGAATTTAGTGCTGGGTTGAGGGGCATGTAAGTGTTGGATCATGTGCTCCATTGTTGCCATTTCTTTTTTCTGTCAACCTTGTCTCTCTTCAGACCTTTAGCAATACCAATGCGAGTCCCAGTCTCTGAGGTAGAGGATGGAAAAAGGCAAAGTGGCAGCTGCGCAGCAGAAGTGCAGACCTTCCCAGTAGGGATCCAAAAGTCCATTCTAGATGACCCTGGTAAAACCACAGCTGTTGTCTTAAAGGAACCTTCCCCTCCACAACATGTTCAAGAGGCATTACAGAGGTGTGAGAAAAATGCACAGGAATTGAATGAAGTAGGCAAAACGGAACAACTCTGTGTTGATTCTCAGATTGGTTTTGGAGGTAAATTGCATCTTCATCTTTTGCTTGAATGACTTTTTGTTATCTGTTTGTGCTTAGAAATAATGCTTTGTCATGCAGTGTAGAATGGTTATAGACTTAACTAGAAGCTGATATGATAAATTGTATCCTCTGGCTGTACTGGTATCCCAAGAATGACATTATTGGAACAATCTGTGGCTATACAAGACTTGTTTGTTAGTTTGCTACCATATTGTAGCTGCATGTGAACTTCATGCCTTACAGGGGTTCATCTCAGATCTCTCAATGGGAACTACCAATACCTTCTCTAAGTGTTTACAGAGAGAAGTTGTATGCCCTTGTTTCCAAAGCAGACAGCCCTTTCTTTTTGTGTCAAAAAGAATCTCTGTTGGTTACTGAAAATGTATCATCTATAAGCAATTCTGATCCTGTCCAGGAAGTTGCATGCTTACCAGCCAGTTCACTAAAATATAAACCATGAGAACTTTGCTTGGAATAGAAAAGCTAATTTTCCCTAAGGGTTATTGTTCGTGGCTTCATCCTACTGCTGTATTATTTTTGTCTAATTTGATGACTCTGCAAATGGGTTTATTTGGGCAGTGGAGACCAGCCTAGTACTCCTGTGAGGCACTATTTTGACATTATACAGAGGGTGTAGCTAAGAAATGTGGAGCAATATTCTTTCCAGCAACTGACTTCAGCATGAATGCTGAGTTGTAGTGGATAATGAATCCTGATCTACTGAGAGAGCTTTAAAATTAGGATAAAATCTAAGAGCTATTAGATGGCAAAAACTTAGGTTGATTTGTTGAGTTCAGCTACTAAAAATGGGAATAAATGATAGGGTTGCATTTAAAGGATTACAGTACCAGATGTTTGTACAGCCCCTAGAATAAAGGGGTTCTGATCTGTGACTTGAGGTTCTTAAGCACTATCACAGTATAAATACTAACTCAGATCTGGATTTTGAACATCCACAAGACTTCTACTTGGAGAAGTTGGGTTTTGCTTTGAGTCATTCCCCTATTGAGAGATGAGCTATATAAGCATCTCTGCCACACACGGTGTGTGAATTCTCCAGTAGAAAAGCACGAGGTTGTCTAATAAGAGCTGTCTTGCCTTTGAAGCCATCTGTATTATATTATGGTGACCATATATGTGAGTTTGTGGGATTTTATGGTTCTGGGGAAAGTTTGTTTTTATTTAGTCCATTGCCTTTTGCTAACCAGAATGATCATTTGCTGCAGAATCCTCATCCTGTATCCAGCAAAGTTCCCAGGATTTCCCAGCATGTAACCTGGATAATAATCTTCCATTACCCCAGTTGGATGACCCTAGAAGACCATGGAGTGACAGCGTGGCACAATTACGTGGGCATGTTACAGAAAGAAAGAAACGTTCCACTCTTTTTACAACGAGTACACCATCGTCTGTTGTGGATTTTAAGCAAGCCACTATACCAGATCGAATGTCCAGCTGGAGCACTGGTGGAGGAGACAGCAGTGCTAATGAAACAAATGCATCCATAAAATTGAGCACTCCCTGTCTTGAGAATTCACTTCATCAGCCTGATAGCCCTCTGAACTTGGAATCCTTGAATAAAATGCTTGTTGTTGACGAGCTACCATCAGAGGAAATGGTATGCGATGCTTACAGGAATCATAACTTCAGTCGAGTCCCTGGATTTGTTACAATAGAGGGAAAAAATGAAAGTAACAGCAGAGCTATTGAACCTCTACTTGTTGGGAAGATCAGCACAAAGAAAAAGAGAGCTGTGAGTAAAAGCAATTCTAAAAGTAGCTCCGACCCATGCATTAATGAAGAGAGACCACAAAGTTCTAAGCAGCTCCTCCAGGCTAAAAGTGTGAGCAGCAGTAAATCTGAAGCACTCAAGTCCACACAGCTGGCTTGCCTGGATGCTTTGGAACAGGTAACCTTACAGAAAAGTAGTAACTTCAATGTGAAGGAGAGTATCGATCGTTGCAGTAAAGGCAAAATTAGTAGAAGAACATACGTGGTGAGTGAAGAGCCATCAAATAAGCTGGGAAAAAATGACTCCTTACAACAGGAAATAAATAAAGAAGCTATCATTGAGAGAATAAGTGTGGAGAATAAGTCCAAAAGTCCAGGTGTTCTCCCATTAAGTGATAAAGCTCCATCAGATGACTCCAGTCTTCAGAATTCACCTTGCTTGGAACAGGTCTCCAACGAACATGCATTAAAATCGGGTGTGAATGTGAAAGATGTAAAACAAAAAGCAAACATGAAAAAAAGTGAAATCAACAAAACAGATTCCTCTAGTGAGGAAAAGCTGCAAAGTAGTAAAAAAAAGCCAGAGGTCAAAATAAGCAAAAATGAAGACCAAGTGAAAAAAAGTCAGATGGGCAAGAGAAAAACTGGCAAGGAGAATAATTATCAGAGAAATGACACAGAGACTGTTGGTCCAGGTGTAGATATTCCACGATTTGAAAAAAAGAAGTATAAGGATTTGCCAGGTAATCCTAAACCTAACAGGAAAACAGACACTGCTGCCCTTTCCCATCTTAGGGTGAGGTTTAGTTCAGTACAGCAAGACTTAGCGGGTGATGAAAATACATCCTCTTGGAGTACTTGTGGGGACAAAACTAACAAGCTGTAGAGACAGTATCCATCACAATGCCATGCTGCAGCAGGACCCTGTCCCTTCTGACACAGTCCATTTAGTCTGTTCACCTACTTTCTCTCCTGTCTGATTAGATCGGAGACTGTAGAGTGAAGGCCTGCCTGGATGCTGTGGTGTGCAGTGCAAGCTTATGTAAACTTAACTGGACACTAGAACGCAGCATTTTAAGATGCATTTAAAGGGCCTTAACTATGGAGGCAGTGGAGTTTGGTTTAGCCAGG